TTTAAATATTCACGCTAAAATGTGAAAATTCCCGGGGAGGGTCAAAAATCACACGTCTACAATATACATTAAACTTTCCAATACTCTTGGATAGTCCAGTTGTGAGTCACTTTCACCTACATTCTTTTGAAGTGCATAACTCACGTCAGTTGGAGTCTTGGCAATTTTGAAATTCAAATACATGAACTTGTCAAGTACCTTTTCAATGTAGTGAGACTGTGATAATGCTAGACCTTGTGGAGTCTTGTGAACTCTGATTCCTAAGATCACATCAGCAACTCCTAAGTCTTTCATGTCGAATTTGCTAGACAACATGCGCTTTGTAGCATTTATATCTGCCATACTTTTATTCATTATCAACATGTCATCAACATATAAACAAACAATGACTTCATGACCTGGAGTGTTTTTAATGTAAACACATTTGTCACACTCATTGATTTTAAATACACTTGCCAATATTGTTTGGTCAAATTTTGCATGCCATTGTTTGGGTGCTTGTTTAAGTCCATAAAGCGACTTAACAAGTTTGCACACTTTCTTTTCTTTACCAGGAACCACAAAACCCTCAGGTTGTTCCATGTAAATCTCTTCCTCCAATTCTCCATTTAAGAAAGCTGTTTTAACATCCATTTGATGAATTTCAAGACCATACACAACCGCTAGTGCCACTAACACCCTAATAGATGTTATCCTTGCTACTGGCGAGTAAGTATCAAAGTAATCAAGGCCTTCCCTTTGTCTATAACATTTGACAACAAGTCTTGCCTTATATTTGTAAATAGTGCCTTCACCTTTAATTTTTCGTTTAAAGATCCATTTTGAACCTAAAGATTTATTTCACGGAGGAAGATCAACCAATTCCCATGTATGGTTATCCAAAATTTATTGAATCTCACTATTAACTGCCTCTTTCTAAAATGCTGAATCAGAAGACGACATAGTTGCTTTAAAAATTTGAGGCTCATTTTCAAGCAAAAATGTCACAAAATATGGTCAAAAGGAAGTAGACTTTCTTTGACGTTTACTACGCCTTGGATCTTCTACACTTGGAGTATTTTCTTTTGGTTCTTTTCGAGGTCGTTTAGATCTTTCACTTAGCGCCTCTTATTCATTTTTATACGGATAGATGCTTTCAAAGAATTCAGTATTATCTGATTCTATTACCGTATTAACATGAATCTCATGATTATCGAATTTATGAACCAAAAACCGACATTCTTTACTATTTGTAACATATCCAATGAAAACGCAATCTATTGTTTTTTGTCCGATTTTAACCCTTTAGGTAAAGGAACTTGTACCTTTGCTAGACACCCCCACACTTTGAAATATTTCAAGTTGGGTTTTCTTCCTTTACATTTTTCATATGGAATAGATTGTGTTTTGCTGTGGAGTACTCTGTTGAGTATTCAGTTAGCTGTAAGGATAGCTTCCCCCCACAAACTCTGCGGTAATCCGGAACTTATTAATAAAGAATTCATCATATCCTTTAATGTCTGATGTTTTCTTTCCGCAATTTCATTGGATTGAGGTGTGTAAGGTGTAATAGCTTGATGGATAATTCCATATTCCGAACATATTTCTGCAAACGGAGATTCATATTCTCCACCTCTATCACTTCTAATCATTTTGATCTTTTTATTCAATTGATTCTCCACTTTATTCTTGTATTGCTTAAATGTTTCAATTGCTTCATCCTTACTATTAAGCAAATAAACATAACAATATCGAGTGCAATCATCAATAAAAGTAATAAAATACTTTTTCCCACCTTGCGATAGTGTCGACTTCATATCGCAAATGTCAGTATGAATTAAGTCTAAAGGATTTGAATTCCTTTCAACAGACTTATAAGGATGTTTTACAAACTTAGATTCAA